ACACCAGCCTAATCCACCGCTTGAGTCGCACGGCGGAGCTGCACGGCGGTGGTCAACTCTAAAGTTAATGTATCGAGATCATACAAACTCATGCACGTGTCGAGTAGTCTAGAGAACTCAATAGCAGGGTACCGCGATGTGTGTGACGGCGGCCAACAGCAATAATACAGCAGCAGTGCTGGCCTTCCTACGAACTCCATCACAGTGGAGCTGGTATGCCAAGCCGTCGCGATCCACTGTCATCCAAAACGGCATTCTGCAGTAATCATGTTGCGTGGTTGCGCTAAAGACTACGTGTTTGTTGTCGCAGGCGCAACAACAACAGGGCTGTGGAGGCGGTATGACCAAGTGTCGATGGTGACGCCGGCGGCGCGAGCCTGGGCGACGTGGGGGTCGCTCTCTTCCTTCAAGTACATACGACATTGGGTCGGGAGCAGGACCGACACGTTGGTGCACGTTGCGACGGCCTCGAGCAGCGCTTGCACATCGTGGAGATCCATCTTATTGCCATGGAGGGCCAGCTCAAACTTGACGGGGGCGTGCGTCGCGCGCAATGCCTCGGCCAACGCTTCCACGCCCTTGGATACGATGCCACAGGCGGCAAAGCCCACGTAACGTGCCCCAGCAGGTCGCCGTGACGTCGATACTTTGGCCAAAGATCGCGCAATACTTCCACAGAACCGACTCAAGACGCGTCGAGCTCGTGGCCCAAAGGAGTATTGCGTCCAGACACGCGACGGACAAGCTGACGTTGCAGAACTCGAGCGTGCGAAGGGTCGACGTCAGCGCGGTGGGTGGTCGCATGGCACTCACGCTGACGCAAGCGCTCGTCAATGTGAAATGCTCGAGGCCCGACAAGTGGGGCAGCGCTGCTGTGATGACGTCGCCGATCTCGGGGCCGTTGGGTACTGCGACGCAAAAGTCAAGTTTTTTCATTCGCTTCAACGGCAGCAGCGGAACAAGACCCACAATGCTCTCGGCCGAGCACCTGTCAAGAACGAGCTCCGAGAGAGACGCCATTGTCGCGCCGTGGGCGACAAGGCTGTGGACCACGCTCTCCGACGACTCGAATAAATAAAGGCTCGAGAGCGTTCGGGATGTGGCCAAAGCATGCCCCAGACCCGCGTCCATCGGGATAGCAACTTGAAGCAGCGACAAGTGGCGAGCATGACCAGACGCCAGCCAACGTCGCAATGGCGCAATGAGCGCGCGCGCATGGTCGTTGGTGCTGTCGCAGCGGAGGTCCAGCTCCGAGACACAATGACGTGGCGACGTCACGGTCTCGAGAAGGTCCACGTGGCTGGTCAAGAGCATCGCCTTCTTAAGACGTGAGCAGCGAGCCAGTACGCGGCCCAACTCACGGCGGTGCTCGAGATCCTTGATGGCGAGGCTGTTCAAGGCCGTCATCTTGGGGGCCCACTTGTTCAGAAACCCGCAAAAGGGGATTTGGAACCCTGGATCACCGGCTTGCCAGCGACCGCTCGAGCAGACGCCGGCGATGATGGCCGACGGAAAAACAGGTATCGCTGCGCAAATCCAATCGATCTCGGTGGCGTGCACGCTGGGGACGCACAGCGTGGGCCAAGCGTACCCCGATCGCAAGCACAGTACGAGTGCTGTCAGCGCTGGGGAGCGCGAGGTCGCCGGCAGCGCCGCAACGAGCGAGAAGATGTCTCGCCGTTCAGGCGTCAACTGGACGATCGCGATGACGATGCCTGGGATGTCGAGGACGGAGGCTGGCAGCAGGCGGCGGCGTTGGTGCGCAGGTGCAGGTGGAAGCTGGGTCATCGCGACCATGAACGAGAAATGCGGACGCACTCTGGATTCGGTTAGATATTTCCCGCTGTCAACGGGTTCTGGCGGAGAAGCATACGCCATGGGATTGGCCAAAAAGAATCATACAACGGACACCGATTGGACCATTTTGCTCCGTGCAGTGCATTCTTTGGGTCGTGTCCAATCAGAGGCCATGGACGTGGCGCGAATTGTGTTGCGACAGCTGGTCAGCTGCTCGGCTCACGTCGGCGGTCCATGACGAGCCAGGTGTCCGAGCGACTAGGACAAGCGACCCATGCTACGGTGGCCACCACCGCCTGCCACGTCGGCGTGAACCAAGCCAGCTTGCGCTTGTGGCCTCATCGCCCATCCATCGTCATTGCCTTCTTCTCTGCATACTTGGCGTTGGACGTCGACACTGAAGGTCTTGTAGCCGTCGATCGTGCGCCGCTGGCAGCTCGTCATTGACTGCAGTCGCCCAGCACGCACGACCTCCGCATCATCGACCCCAAGTCCCGCACGGCGCTGCCCGACGGCTACAGTGGTGAGATCTGGGTCCACGGCGACAGCATCGCCCAAGGCTACTGGCAGCAGTAGACCTCACGCGCCGCGCGAACCTCCGGGAGAAGGCGCTGGGCCTCCACCGCGAGATGAATGACGACTGGCGGTGTCGCAAACTGCTGCAAGTGCATGTGAAAACACAGCCAATTGCCAGATATGTTGTCCAAGCGCCTCGAGTTGCCTGAGCGCAGGCGACTAGAATGACACCGGGATGATGCAGTCGAGGCAGGTTCTGGCAAACGCGGGTCGAGCGGCAGAGCGGTGGTCGAGCGGGCTGATGGCAAAAGCCTTCTTCACCACTGGCTCATCCGTGGACGGCGACGCACGTACTCGAGTTGCCATGTGGAGTGTCCATTGTTGCAGTAGCTGCCGCAGAAGGACAGAGCGCGTCGAGGATCGCGATGGTGCGACGATGCTGGTGCTTGGATCTGTTGCTGGAAGGCAGTCGATGCGCGGTCGCCGCCGCGGCTTCCCACTCGGCTGAGCGTCCCATGCGCATTGGCTTGCACCACGTTGGTCGCCACTTCGACCCCCACAAAGTTTTGTCAATAATAAACGATTTATTAATTCTTCTTCTATACACCATACAAGCGGCTCTCCGTTTATCTCGAGTTGGTCGAGCCGTTGCCGCGCTTGCCCGTGTTTTGCCACTTGGCGAGCTTGGGCGTCGCATGACGATCGGCCTCGCCGGCGCGCGCCATCGTGTTCATCTGGCGCTGCTGCTTCTTCATGAGCTTCATCGACTTCTCGGCCATGGCTTCGTCGCGGAAACCCGACTCGTCGCGGGGCGCCACCATGCTCTGCGAGCGGCCACGCGACCCGGCGCGGGACTTGCTCGCGCCGCGGGACTTGGACGACCGGCCCATGCTCTGGTCGCGGCCATCGTCGTCGCCGCCTTCCATGTCGACGTCTTCCATGCCGGCTTCGTCGCGCGTGCGCTTGCGGCCACGGGCGTCGTCATCAACCGTCTTCTTGGCGGCCTTCTTCTCGGCGTGGTGGACGTGGGACGCGTCAACACCCAGCGCCTCGAGGCTCTCCTTGTAGCCGTCGATCGTGCGGCGCTGGAACTTGCGGGGCACCGCGGACCGGTTCTTGTTCTTGTTTTGGCGGTGCTCGGACACCATGACCGCCTTCTTCTCACGGATGCGGCGCAGCGTGTCCTTGTCGTCGTCGTCAAGGTCGGACACAATGTCCTCGTCCTGGTCCATCTCGGCGTCGGCGTCGGCGGCCTCCTCCTCGCGCTCGAGCTCCTCGAGGCGGGCGAGGATGTCCGGGTCGACAAAGTCGGCAATGTTCTTGCCGTTCCAGATCTCGGGCATGACGTCCTTGGTCCACTCGTTGTTCTTGAGCATGCCTTCGTAGTGCTCCGAGTAGTCCATCGAGTAGACGCCGGCGCCGCCGTTCTCGTTCATCTTCATCTTCTGCGTCTTGCGGGGCGCCGCGCTCTCGTCGCGGGCCTGGAGCACCGACGCCGGAATCGTCGTCTCGCGCACGACGCTGTCACGGGCGACGGGCATCGCGACCGTGAGGCGGTTGAGCACGTCGCCGACCTTCTTGCCCTTGACCTTGGTCGAAACGCGGTGGTTGAGGAGCTCGTCGCAAGCGTAGTTCTTGACGTCCGAGACGTTTTCTTCCGAGTGGTTGGACATGCAGAACATCTTGGCGTTGGCCGTCGAGACCGCGGACTCGATCATGCCACGGTGGTGCTCGGGCAGGTTCATGTACGGCATCTGGTCGATCTTGTTGCACACAAAGAGAAGCGGCTTGTTGGCGAAGAGCGGGCGGATGTTGGCGAAGAGGCTGAGCTGCTGCTCGATCGTGAAGCCGCACTGCTCCGAGATGTCCATGAAGAAGAGCACGGACGCCTGCAGATGCGCAAGCGCGGTGACCGCCTGCATTTCGATCGTGTTGCGCTCCTCAAGCGGGTGATCCAGGATACCGGGCGTATCGATGACCTGCCAGCGGAGGTACTTGTAGTCCATGTGACCGACGTAGAGCGCCTTGGTCGTGAACGCATACGGCTGCACGTCGACGTCGGCGCGCGTGACCTTGTTCATGAAGCTCGACTTGCCGACGTTGGGAAAGCCGGTCACAAGGAGCGTGCGCGTGTTCGGGTCGATCGACGGCAGACGCGAGAGATGCTTGCGGACTTCCTCGAGGTAGTCGAGCGACGACTTGTTCTTCTTGAGGAGCGTGCAGATACGACCGAGCGCCGCGCGCTTGAGCTGCTTGCAGCGGTAGAGCGTATCACCGTACTTGATCATGCGCACGTAGTCCTTAGCAATGTTGTCGATGAGCGCACGCGCCGTGTTGATCTGGCCGAGCGCGAGCTTGTAGTGGTCCTTGTCGTACAGGATGTTGATCAGGTCGGCGTAGAACGGGTGGATGTCATCGAGGCGCGGGAAGTCGTCAATGATCTGGCTCAGCTTCTCCTGGCACGTCTGCTGCGTGAACTTGACCTTGCGCATGTAGAACGCGCGGATGCGCGAGATGGCATACGTCGGGTGGATGACCGTCGGCGTCTTGCGCTGCGTGCGCGTGAGGATGATGTCGACAAAGTCGCTGGCCGGCGGCACCGTCTGGATCTTCTTGAAGTTGTAGACGACCATGCTGCCTCGACTCAAATGCGGAAATCTACGCTCCTCAAGCCGCGCCCGCCTATATTTATGACTGGACAACACCTAGCGGCCAACGGTTGGTCCGAGCGGCCGATATGGGCTGGCGACGAGGCCATTGGCTGGCCTTGCTAGCATTCGCGCGATGCCATTGGCTACCATGTGATGCGCGTGCGCGGATTGGTGGAAACGCAATATGGAGTTTTGACCAATGGCCTGCGAGCGGCCCGCGGATTGGCCACATTCACGAGGATGCGCGATCCGAGCGATGGCGATTTCCCGGCGGCGCGCATGAAGCGCTTGCGATGGTTGCTGTCGCAAGCGCCAAGGAAGCCGACGACATGGCACTGCGCCGCCCGTAACGACGCTGACAAATGGTCTGCGCCAATGCTAAAAATGAGGTGCAGCGAGGTGTTCGAGATGTGTTGCGAGCGCCATGCAGCAGCAAGAGGTGCTTGCGAGATAAACGCCACGAGTCAGCTCAAGCGCGAAGACGCTTGATGAGTTTGGACGGTTCTGGACGTTCCCACTAGCTCGTAGCTGAGTACGGTAGAGTTGCTGAGCGCAGATGGGAGCCCGTTGCAGACGACGCTAGGAGAAGCAGGACTGTAGTTGGGGTTGAGCCAGCTATTCCTTTGGCTGAGGCGGCGGCACTGGTTAACGGCGGGACGTTGCGACTGCAGCTCGCAGAATGAAGCCGCACCATGCGAACGGTAGCACACCCCAGAGATCGAGCAGCAAGATCGTGACGGACAGTGATATCGCTGCGAGAAGGTTCATCTGCACGAGTATGCTGCAGTGCAGCGACGGTAACCTGTCGCCCGGCGCCTTGTACACTGCGACCTATTTGTTCGATGGTTCATGCTCCCGTGTAGCAAGGCGATGCTTTTGACCGAGCCGCGTTCGCACCTCTTTATTGCTTTGTCAAAGACGCGCGTACGTGCGACAAAAACCAAGCGCAAGAAGGCGACGGGAGCCAGCGCCAAGCGACTACTAGTCCCTGCACCCGCCCGAGCCCGAGCCCGTGACGATTGCAGAGGGCGACGACTACGACGTGAGCGACCGAGCACCGCCCGACCCATTCTACGCCAGTCTCTTCTTCAGTCCCTGGCATCCTTCAGCCTCATTTCCTCACGATCATCCCAAAAATCCGGATTCAACACGAAATGCGATCGATATCATCTTGTACTAGCTCTACACAGGACATGAAGGTGTTGGTATCGACAGTGGGAACGCGCGGGCGACGACAAGAGCGCCGAGTACGTCGACCCGAGGAGCGCGTCGCGGGACGGCGACCGCAGGTAGCTCAGCATTGGCGTCTCGTCTTCTTTCTCTTCCATGGGCGGACAAGCGCGGCGTGGAGCTTGGTGACGAGCCCGAACCACAGGATTCTCTACAAACCGTGGGATATCGCGCTGGCGCTGGAGCAATAAGATGACAATAACGTGTGTGCACTCGTAATTGAGTTTTCTCGTTTCGCTGCTCACACGCAAGGATGATCGTGACGGCGTCAAGCGATGCTTGTGTGGCACTCGTGGCAGTTGGCGCCACTGCAAAGGCGCCGCGCCGAGTTGGCGGTCCACGCGTGGACACAACCGCGGTGTCGCGTCATAGGTGGCATAGCAAGCGCGCACGTTGGCGCCTGTTGAACCGGCTGGACGCAGAGCACGATTCCGCGCCAGAGCGCCATCTTGCTTGTCTTGCCGTCAAAGATGTGGTACCCTCGGCCGTCGGACCCGACTTCAGACGCCATCTGCAGTCCAACTGAAGGCCTTTATAGCGCCACTCGCACGCAAAAAGCGCTGGTCTGCGCCGCAATGGCCTTGCCACACATCGGGCACCGAGCCATGTCGGCCACAACGTAACTTGACAGGCGAAAAATTCCTCGTGGTCGTTCGCCCTGCAGTCCTTGTTGACGCACGTACCATGGAGGTTGGGATCGGACTTGAAGCGGCGCCAACGCGGCGCGGCCGACGGGAGTGAGCAGCGTCCTGGTGTCCACGACGTCGGCAAAGGACGTCGTGGTACCGCCACCGAAAAGGCGGCCGACGAGATGCAGCGTCGCGTCCGATGGTATGTTTCTTCAACAATCGCCCGCGCTCGAGCTGGAGGCCGTTGAAAAGCAAGCTGGTCCTTGGGTTGAGCGCCTTTGATTCTGACGATTGCCTGTATCGCCGTGTGAACCAACGCGTCGAGAGGCAAACCCAGCGCGAACGCTCTTCCCGTCCAACGACGACTTTGGATCGGGGCGATCACGTGCATTATGAGTAGCCCGATCGTGTCGCTGTCATCGAGATCTTTGCATTGGAACTAGAGCGCCGAGTTGAGGTGCCAGGCGCATCCTACACCTGGAGCTTGGCGAGAAGGATGACTTTGATGTCGGCGACCGAATCTATTCACCATCGCGCGCGGTCTCGTACGAGGTCACGCTCGCACCATAGATATGCTGCGTCGTAACGCGTGCAGCTACGATATATGTACCGGTAAGATCATTCAACAGAAATCCCTCAACACATCGTTTTTGACGTAGTTTGGGACGGCTCGAGCGCACTTGCCTTTCATGGCAGCCGAAGTCCGTGGTAGGTTCAGGGTAGGGGTAGGGTTCGGCTTTGGTCGTTTGGCGGTATATCTACAGTGTTCAACAATGGCTGCTCTGGCAACCTCTGTACACCAGCGACGCCCCCGACGACAGTGTTCTCCCAACCATTTGCGACCTTGCAGTGGCCAATGTTGTGCCCAAAGTGGGTCCTATCTTGCATATAAATTCATATATTCTGAACGAAACAAAAATGGCCGACTTTCGCGTTGTCCACTCGGTTGAGGGACGTGACCTAGGAAGATGGACGCGCAGTCCGCGGGACATGATGGCCACTCGTGTTAAGCGAGGAGCCAAAGGAGATCGGGCATCGAGAAGAGTAATTGTAGCCTGAGAGCGAGGTCCGCAGGACGACCAAAGGGTCCGTGACCGCGTGGAGCGTGGGCCACATGTCCTTGATGAAGTCACAGGCGACGAGGAGATGGCAAAGTCTCTTGTGAGCAGGGTAAAAGAGGCATGTGTGATCCGTCCTGTCGAGCCCGATCAGAAAGGATTGCATGGAGCACCACTTGCCGGCGGGTTGATTTCAGCTTGGGCGTCGGCTTACTTGGGTAGGATGGTGTCGGGCTGTCGGAGCTCGTGTGCGACGGCAATGCCAGCAGGTGCATCGTCGAAGGCGCCGCCGACGCTCCAGTACAGTCCCGCTTATCGAAAGGGAAGCCGGTTAATATTCCGGCACCGATAGCGGGCGTGTCGGCGGGCGTGGTCTGGGTCAACGGCTTGGTCGCGTATTGTCGTCGAATCCGCCACAGTGGCGTGGCAAGAGCCCACTGGATCACCGGCGCCAGCGCGCTCAGCTTCACACGAAGATCGAGCCAATACTTGAGCGTGAACTTGAGTCCTCGTACGGCCGTCGTCATCGGCAAAGGCGACGTTGCCCCAGGACGGCCACGCTTGGCGACGTCCATCGCGCAGTCCACATCTCGAGCGGGCTTGAGGCTTGGCTGTGCTGATATGGGTGCATATTTTTGTCCAATTGAAAGGCACGAATTGGATTTGTCATGTTTGATTGGTTGTTAAATGGTCAGCGGCCAGGCTTGAATTTTGCGGCGGCGGAAGCGGCGGAGGACCATGAGCGACAAGGAGGTACGTGGGAGAAGAGATGAAGAAGGAAGCGACCGACTGTGATTACATAGATGGAGCTCATAAAAGCTGCATACAAAGGTCGACTGGACGACGTGAAGCGGCTCGTGGAGAAGGAAGGCGTCAATCCCAACTTTGACAATGGTGTACGTCTCCTTCTCTATTGATAGATTTGTCGATTTGTATGAATTTGGTCGTAGGAAGCATTGTGCTATGCTGCTTGGAAAGGTCGAACGACCGTCGTCGATTACTTGCTGAAGAAGAACGTCTCGACCGAATCTCGTTGGGTACGTCGATCGATATTTCTCAATTGTCTTTTGATTGCAATTGAAAGTCAACGATCGGTAGTGTGGAGGAGATACACCTCTGATCGACGCTGCGAGAAACAATCATTTCAATCATCTCGAAATTGTGCGTCTCCTCTTGGACGCCAACGCCGATCTCAACGCCAAAGACGAAGTACGTAGTCTCTCCATCCTCCGACATGTACAACAAAAGAACGTAGGACAACAAGACAGCGCTTGATTGGGCGGTTGAATACAACTACAATGACGTGGCGCAGCTCTTGCGTGACCATCCAAAACGCAAATTTCTCAAAGACGAGGTAGATACATTAAGGACTCGTATAGCACCAGTCCTCACGACATGTTTGCCCAATTAGATTCTCGCGGCGCTGGAATCCACCAGTACGCAAGCCCTATTGATCATCTTGCAGGATCCCAAGATCGACGTCAACCTGCGCGACAACGTACGCGCCTCCTCGATCTCCTTCGTACGATTTCTGAAGTAGAACTACACGCCGCTTCTGCATCGGCTGGTCGATTATGGCAGCGTGGAAGTGCTCGAATGCGTTGCTCGAAGGAACGACCTCGCGATCAACGCTACGGACCGGGTTTGTCGACTAGAAACATGCAGCCACCTCTGTAACAAGACTGCACTAGGCAGATCGAACGGCGTTCATGCTCGCTGTTGCCAAGAAGGACGCCGCAGCAGTCCTCGTACTTCTCAAAGCCGGAGCGTGTACACGTTTGGTCCGCGACGACGTATTCAACGACGAAGACCTTTACATCTCTTGACTGCTAACTTTGTGTAGGGCTCTATCGATTGCACGGACGTCTTTGGCAACCTACTACTCGAAGTCGTGACAGACGGAGATGACATTGCCGTCGACCTGCTTCTGCAAGATGGTGTCCGTCCCACGGCGACCAACGCGGTACGATCGTCTGTGATATAGCAAACGCGATTGTTGCCTCTAGGAGAGACGCACCGCATTGCATCTCGCCGTCATCAACGCAAACGAGGCTATAGTTGACCAGCTGCTGAAGAAAATGGAATCGCTCGCCAAATACCGCGACCTCGTACGTGGACACTTTGCTTCTTCTTGATTCTCACGTCGTACCTACTATATGTAGGAAGGAAACCTACCGCTGCATTACGCTGCAGCTATCGACAACTCCATCTCCAACAAACTCGTTGCACTCGCCTCGGAGAATGACCTCAAGGCAACCAACAACGTACGATCAACTCTCTTTGCTCGACATCTTGACCGACTCGCAATGGGTTGTATAGGAGGGTGACACGCCGCTCGCAGTCGCTGTCAAGAAAGGGTGCTCACGCGTCGTTGCGGCATTGCTCTCGAAGGAGAAAACGCTGGGCTACAACCCTCGCGTAAGCATATCGGCCTGTTGCACGCACCCGGCTTATGCAACAAATCTAGGAGGGGGGGACGTTGCTCCACGTGGCGGCGGCCAGCGACCGCGACTGCAAGGACATTATCAAAGCACTTATTGCCGCTGGTCACAACGTGTTTGCCAAAACCACGGTACGTTTCGTCAAATGTCCACGATCTTTGAAAGCTTGTGACATAGGCGGGGTTGACGCCCTTGGCGCTGGCGAGAGCACAAAGCGCGCCGCGCGGCAACATCAAGGCGTTAGAAGTCGCCGAAGCAGCCGCGATTCAACTCCTCTTTGACGCTGTTCGCGATACCGACGTGGCGAAAATCGACGTGCTTGTCAAAAGCGGCGTTCTTGTCAACGCCCAGGACCCGGTACGTTCAACACCAATGCATGGCGCATTTTGGTATGTTTCTACAACAGGGCACGGGTCACACGGCCCTCCACATGGCGGCAGTACATCGCCAAGACAAGGTCGTCGCCCAACTCGTGGCCGCCGGAGCGACCGTCAACGTAGCGGATACAGTGGGGAACCATTTGTTTCTGCCAAGCACTGCTCACATCATTCCTTTTGTACGTAGAACGGCCAAACGGCATTGCACGCTGCCGTGGCCCTGCCCAGTTCGAATGCAGTAAACGTTGTCACGGTCGTCAAGCGTCTGCTGCTGGAAGGTGCTGATGTCGTCGCAATGGACAACGTACGTAGCTTCACGTCCGAATCCCATGTATCTCTCATATCACGGTGCAGAAAGGCCGTCAACCGCTGCACCTCGCTGCCATGCACGGCCTCGTCGAACTCCTGCCGCTACTTGTCGCTGCAAACATCGACGCAACTGACAGCGTATGTACCAACGTACAGGTCGTATCATTCAAGCAACGTCATTGCACTCTAGGACTTGATGACGCCGCTGCATCATGCGGTCAAGTGCGGATCTATTGACGTTGTCAAATGCCTCGTGGCAATGGGCGCGTCGCTGTGTCTCGAAAACAAGGTAGGCCCAAAGAACATTATTCAACATGACAAGAAATGCGGAGAATAGACGCGTAAGACGCCCCTGGCGCTGGCGAAGCTCCTACAAAGAAACAAAAAAAAAATTCTGGAGCTCCTCCAACGCCACGTGGTACGACGCACACAAGTACACGCCACAGCTTACATCGTGTATGTAGCTCCTTGCCGCCGTGCGCGAGCGTGACATCGACGCAGTGAAAACGCT